GCAATCGCTTGCTCGCCTCCCCACATGTGCCTCTTCACGCCCACACACAATGCTCACGCATCACCCACACACAAGCATCCACACACACACACGCCCGTGCTGTTCTCATTGCATGTGCTGCGCATGCATGTGTGCTCGTGCAAGCATTGCTCACAACACAGTCTTGTGTCGCTTCGCTTTGCCTGCACTCACACACACACACTTCACATACACACACACAAATGAAGAGAGAGGTCAGCAGAACAAAGACCCGAGAAGAAAGAGAAGTTGTAGCTGCAAGGGCGCAGACGCGGCTTTTCGTGCCCGCAAGCAATCCTGCTCAGCGACAATCGCCTTGCTCTCTTGCTTGCGCCTCTACTCAGCGGCTCTTTGCCTTTGCCTTCTCTCTTACTTTTTTGTCTTGCTCATTTGCATCCTTCCTCTCATGTATGCCAATCCATCGAGCGGCAGCTGTTTGAATCGCTGCTTTGCCCTCCTGCACTTTGCCTGCAGGCACCGCAATCTAGATTCAGTGAATCTGCTAGATCTAGATTTGTGACTGGATCTAGCAAATGCGCACAGCTTCACTGCATCACGATTCTTCACACTGCTCACACCCCAGATTCCTCTGGCCCGTGACCAACCAATGCTTGCATGCATGCAATTTGCTTCGCTTGCATGCTGCACATCAGCTGCACAGCTGCACTGGTGCCTCGCGACGCAGTGTTCAGACACTACTCGTCACAGCTTGGGGCTTTTTTCATCACATGATCGCACTTTTTCTGAACCCCTTTTTGACTTCACCGCCCCAGTCTCCCTACTCCGGTGATCAAGTGAGCAAGCGAGCAAACGACACTGCACCATGCTATGCGCTGCTGCAACAGAGACAAGACCATGTGGCTGGCTTACAGGCACACGTGCGCACGAGCACACTGCACTGTGTGCACTTCTACTTGCCTGCAGGCACGCTTCGCTGAAGCAAGAAGAAGCAAAGCAGAGGAACTGAGGAGTAGAGAAGCAAGGATGGATTCGTTTCCATGTGATTGCACAAGAGACAAGCAAGCAGGCAGAGAACGACGAGGAGCAGCGCAAGGGACACGTGTACACGTCTGTGTACATGCGTTTGTGTGTAGCTGTTGTCTGCAGGCACGGGAACGTGTTTCTGATTAAAGTGGATTGGATGAGTAGCAATCCTCTGCTCACTGCAGACACGCTGGCATGCGATTGTGCAGTGCTGCTGTGTTACTCGCAAGCACTTGTACCTTCTCTTACATTCATTGAATTCACTGCAAAACGATCCTCTGCTCACGGCAGACACACTTGCATGCGATTGTGCAGTGCTGCTGTGTTTGTTCTAACTACTCACAACTTCTCCTACTTGCATTGGATTCACTCCACCACATCCGTCTGCAAGCACTCACAACATCTCCTGCTTGCATTGGATTCACTCCACCACATCCCTCTACTCACTCGCAGGCACTCATAACTTCTCCCACTTGCACGGGATTCACTCCATTCCATCCGTCTACTCACTCGCAACATCTCCTGCTTCCATTGGATTCACTTCACCGCATCCATCTGCTCACTGCTGTGTTACTCGCAAGCACTCACAACTTCTCCTACTTGCATTGTATTTACTCCACCACATCCGTCTATTCACTCGCAAGCACTCACAGCTTCTCCTACTTGCATTGAATCCACTCCACTACAATCCGTCTCCTCGCCGCAGACACCTCATGCGTACGCTTGCTTGCTCTGTGCGTGTTGCTTGCAAGCACCCACAACTTCTCCTGCTTCCACCTTGTTCACTTCACAACACGCCTCCACTCACCCGCCACAGTATCACTGCATTACCCACCATGTCTGCACGCACCTGCAATCGACCCTTTATCAATCCACACCATCACTCACACAACGCTCTGTCACCCCCTCACAACTCCACTCCACTTCACTCTACTCAGCAGCATCGCCTCGCTTCTTGGACTCACTCTCCAACATCACCTGCGCTTCCTCTCTCGCCTCCAGCAGCGATATGTTCAGGTGCGTACGACGCTGGCTGCAATCGCCTTCTCCTCTTCCCACTTCACCTTCTCTCTTCGCGCATGCGTGCTACTGCTTGCAATGTCTGTGCTTCTATTCCCTTCGCTCCACCGCAACAATCACAACACAACACGGCACAACACATCCATGCATGTGCCGCTCTGTCCCTCTGCCTCCCCCTTCACTCACTTGCGCCTGTCCCTCTTCCCTTTGCTTTTCCACATTCCATGTGATACATTGTTGCTTTGCACTTGTTGCCATATGCTTCACCCACCCTTGTCTCTCCCCCTCTCTTCCATCCACTCACCACCACACAGCACCTCTCCACGCAACATCACTCGTCCTTCACTTCACCTCACACAACACAGGACCACATACAACCCACTGTGTGCATTCGTGCTTCCCTTCGTCCTTTCTTTCACCACCTTGTCACCACAAGCCTTGTTTGTCTATTTCACCTCCACCACCCCGCTCCTGTCTTGTTTCAAATCTTGCCACTGCTGCTGCTGTTGCCATGTGCTTGCATGCCCTCCCTTGTCCCTGTTCACTACTTTGTGCTGCCACTCCTTCCCTTTCCCCTTCCCATACCCTTTCCTGTCTCGTTCATGTTTCATGCTGCATGTGCTACAACACATCGTAAACCCATCAAGCCCACACTGCCGCCTTCTTCACCACCATCCCTGTTCACATTCATCACCACCAGTCGCTGCCATCATCGCTCGCTTCATCCTTTCCCCACACTCCCACGTGCTGCTGTCCTCACCTGCATGCAACACCCACTACACAGCCACACGCCCAGCTCACCACCAATCCAATTTGCATCACAACAACACACACTGTGTTGACTTCACCGCAACCATCCACAACCATCAATCCACCACCACCATCACACGATACACACAGCTGCACATGCGTGTTGCATTGTATGTTTCCACTTCACTTCAGCAACACGACAGCAAGCAAACACACACACAGACACACGTGGCAAGAACAAGCGAGAAAGCATCCCCATATCAACTGCAAGCAACACGCAGCACACAACACACAACAAGCGACAGCTCCATGCTGCGCCACACCGCTTCACTCCCCCATCAACCGCCATCATCACCTTCAACCAACAAGAACAGCAGCAGCAGCAGCAGTGTACATGCTGTGGCAAGAGAGAATAGAGAGAGAGAAAGGGAAAGGGAAAGGGAGGGAGGAAGGCAGAAGAACACAAAGAGAGAGACGTGCACGCTGTCAACAACAACACGACACAACAACACAGTCAACACCACCCGCTCACGCTCCCCTCCTTCTCCAACGAGGTGCGTGGTCTATAGCAGCCCCACGTCTTGCTTGCTTGTCCTGTGTCCTTGCTTGCTCATGTCCTTGCTTGGTTGTGCGTGCCTTGCCATGGGTTCCAACAAACAGCCTGCACTTTCCCCCTGCACAAGCGTCCACGTGTTTGTGTGCGCGTGCGTGTGAGGGGATGACAAAGAGGGACGAGGGAAGGGAGCAGAAGAAGCAGAAGAAGCAAGGGAGAGATGGGGAGGTGCGTGAGCACAGACGATAGTGATGGGCGAACACGACGTGGCTGTGGTGAACGCACACACACACACACACACAAGCACACAGCGAAGCAGCAACGCACAACAGACACAACAAACACAAACAGGGGGGAACAAGAACAAGCAGTAGCGCAACACACACGCACACACGCACCAAGGGAAGGACATCAGCCAACCAGCATCGTCCAACACCCCTTGCATCCACTGGTCCATCCATGTAGCAGCGGTGGCAGCAGCAGTAGAGGGAGAGGAAGAAAGGGAGAGAAGGCAGAGTGTGCCCTGCCTTGCTTGCCTGCCTGCCTTGCTTGTGTGGGGATGTGTCTGCACGCACACCCACTGTGTGTGTGTGTCTGCGTGTGTGTCAGCATCCATACACACATGTGCGTGAGACAGAGAGAAGCAAGCAGCCACCACACACGCATACACACTGTGTGAATCACAAGCAGACACAGCATGAACGACATGCACACAGTCACAGTCACAATCACACACATGCAAGTGCAACGCACCGTGAGGTGGCATCAGACTGCCTGTCAGCGTGTGCGTGTGCGTGTGTGTTCACACACGCGTGTGTGGACCGATGCAGCCCATCATCCCTCTCTGTGTGTGCGTGAGCCACATGCACCCACAGCAGGGAGTGCGTGTGAGATCACAACACCCACCACAGCCACGTCCACCTCTCCCACCTCTCCCTCCTTCACAAACACACACAAACACACACACAGCGGTCAAACCAATTGACAGAACTCACCCAAACTCACGGTGCCAGCGTGCCATGGGCCTGTGCAGCACATATGTCAGCCTCACCGACTGTGGGCAACGCCTTGCATGCCTTTGGCCCTGCACACGTCCATGCTGTGGGCGCTGTTGTACGTGTTGTCTGCTTGCACCTGTGCACCATCACACCATCACCCACCACACCCCACACAGTCCATGGAACCAAACGAGACCACCCACAACAGGACCGCCAGTGAGTGCCCGTCACAACGCGCACCCTCTCCTTCCTCTCCACCAACCCTGCGCCAGCCATGCACACGAACAACGCAAGCCACCACCCAACACACACGCACGCACCTTGATTCGCGTTTCGCTTGCTGCTTGTTGCTGGTTGTGTGTGTTGGTCTTGTTGGTTCGTGTTTGGGCGATTTGTGGAAGATGCCACAAGTAATCGCCCACCGCTGCGGTTGTGCGGCAACTGCTGTTTGCTTTCTGCGTTTGCTTGTTGAAGGGCGGACTTGCTGAGTTGCTGGGTTGCTTGGTTGATTGAGTTGGTTGGTTTCAATGAGACAAGAAGAAGAAGCAGAAGAACGAGGGGAACAACACTGTGTGTGTGAATGCAACGCAGGCTGACAGGCCTTGCAGGCTGCGGAGGGAAGAAGGGAAGGGGAGAAGAAAGGGGGGATGGAAAAGAAGAAGAACCAAACACACACACACACACACATGCACAGCTGTGGACAGCATGCACCCCTCCTCTCATCCCCTTCTTCTCTTCTCTCCTCCTCCTCCTCCTCCTCCTCACAGTCACAACAGACAGCCAACAGCCACAAAGGGCTGGAAGAGAAAACAAACAAGGGGAGGGGGCAACAGCCACCCAGCCAGATCGCCATGGAAGCAAGAGGCAAGGTGATGGAGGGGGGGGGGAAGGAGAACACCGTCCATCAACACACACAAACACACATCTGTTGGGAGCATAACGTCTTGTGTCCTTGCTCCCCCTTCCTTTCCTTGGCCTGGGTTGAGTTGGGTTGGTTGAGGTGGCACAGCTCGCAATGGCGTGGCATGCGTGTGGGCATGGGTGTTGGATGTGGATGGGTTCCTCTGTGGGTGTGAAAAATGAGAGGAGGGAAACAGTGGAAGGGGTGGCAGCAGCAGGGGAGGAGGAAGAAGGAGAAGAAGCAAGGGGAGGGGGCGGATGTGAGCATGTCATGCGTGAGTGGACAGCAACAACACATGGGGGTGGGTGATGATGATGATGATGTGCTTGTTGTTGTGCGTTGTTGTGATGGCACAAGCACACAAAGGTCAACCCCAATCACACACACACACACACCTCGTCGTCAATCAACGCATCTGCCTGACATATGCGCACACGCACACGCACATCTGCAGTCACACACAGTGTCACACATGGCATTGCAGAGTGAGACGGTACAACACCATGCACACGCATACACAGCAATGCAACCACAACCACCACAACGACAGCATCTCTCTCCCCATCTCCATCCCCCCAATGCACGGTCACATGACCAGGTGCACAGCCATGGTGGGGATGATGGCCATGATGAACGCCTTCCTCTCACTTCCCCTCAACCTCTTCCACCAAACACACACAGCATTGCGTGCCCTCACCTCGTGCATCGTGTTGCTGTCGGCGTGGTTGACAGCGATGCACACACACACATGCACGCACACATCGCCGTGTGTGTCCTCGGTTGAGATGAACAACGAAGGGAGAAATGGGCGACACGACACGACGCCCAATCAACCCCAGCCAATCCAATCCAGCATCCACTGCTGTGTGTTGCCTGCTGCAGTCACAATCACAATCACACAATCACAATCACAAACAGGTACAAGCAAAAGGAATGAGCCACTGATGTGTGCGTCATTGTCATGTGATACCACCATCACACGATTCACGTGCATGTACACACGCGCACCCCCATTCCCCCCACCAACATCATCGCCCTGTTATCACTCCCCCTCATTCTCCCTCCTTTCGCTCTGCACTCCCACGTCGCACCATCACCACCATCACCATCACCATCACCGTGTCACTTCCCTGCTTCTCCTGCTTCCCACCACTCCACACAACACGGCCCACCAACCAACCAACCATCAACGATTATCCTCACCTGTGCTTGATGCAGCCAGCCAGCCAGCCGATGTGCCACAGCAAAGCCAGAAAAAGGAAGCGCAATCACATGCCACGACCACCATCGTCATCGCTGATGGAGCAGAAAGAGGAGATTAAGAGGGAAGAGTGGCGGGCACGGGCCGTGTCCTTCCTTGTCTTCATCGGCGCAGCCCCAAACACGGTGCACAGCGCACATGCACACGCACGGCCATCATCACAGCAGCATCAGTAGTAGCAGCGAGCTAGCCTGCCTGCGTGAATGCCTGTGAGGCAAGAAGAAACCAACCAGAGACGAACAACAATGACCGGTGGTGGTGAGGACATGAAAGGAGGGACACAAGGGACCACGCATTAGAATATGCAGCATGTTGTGGGCGGGGTGCATCACCTACACACAAGAACAACGAAGCAAGCACCCACCAGGCAAGCAAGCACGGTAGGTAAGTACAAAATATCACCACCACCACCACCACCACATCCAGCACTGCTGAAATACCTGCGTTGGCCGCAGTCTCGATCACGCCTCAACAGCTGCACATCACATGGGGAAGGCTGATGATGATGATGACACAGAGCAAAGGGGATTGGTTGGGAAAGGGGGAAGGGGATTCGGTTGGGGAAACCCACACACATCCGCCTGCAGCCACGCATACGCACACGCACATTTGAGTTGTGGGATTGGTTCATGTGAGACACACGTCAGTGCAACCACCCACAGCCAATGACTGCTGTGGTGTGTTGGCATACATGTGTACATGTGTGCATGCGTGTGAATGTGTACTACCACCCCATCACCACACACACACACACACACACACACACACACACACACACACACACACACACACACACACACACACACACTCACTCACACACGCACACACACACACACACAGCGCCAACGTCTCACCTTGCGCCTTCTTTTCTGACACATTCGTGTGTGCGTGTATCGCTCTGGTCGTGTCATGAGGGCTTGGGAAGAGAACGGCCACCGCCCTGCGCAAAATCACACACATGTACACATGCGCAACCACAAAGAACCAAATCAGCAAGAATGACACCACGCAGTGAGCCAGCATGACAGAAACAAACCACATCCACCTCCTTGTGCCACATTCACATCACTCACATCACCACCTGTGCACGCACATGTCACATTCCCAAACACAGATACACACCACCACGACCACCACCACAAGCAGCACATCTGCACATGCGTCTGTGCGTGCGCCGTCTACATCCACCACAAATCACTCACCACCACCATCATCGTCGTCATGCGAGGCAACAGCACATCGACGCACATCACACCCTGAACGTGTGCGTGTGGAGAAAGAGGTGAGTTGTCTCAGAATCAGGATATCAACGACAACAAAACCCATTGCCACCACCAACAGACCCAACGACATCCAATCAGCACTTCAGAATCACACACATACGACATGCTGATGTTCACACCCAACACATCACACACCACCCAAATCATCACCACAACCACCGCCATTCATCTCACCTCCACATCCATGGTCGCAACCGCTGCTGTTGGCGACCAATGACGACGACGACGAGCAGGAGGAGATGGACAAGAGGCAGAGGGCCAGTTCATCTAAAATGCAGCCACACATCAACAGCTGTGTTGGTGCTGCTGTTGCTGGTGGTGGAAACGGTGAAAGCAAACGGCCCCTTGCCACGCCGTGTCCTTTGCTCGCTCACTCAGCTGCTCGGTTGGTCGGTTGGATGGAGACGAGATACATGGCCCTGTGTCCAAATCAATCGAAAAACAGGAGAGAAGAAGAAGAAAAGACACATGAGTGAACAGAACAGACAAGGAAAGAGAGAGGCGAAGAAGGAAGCACAACATGTCAACCAACACACACACACACATATCTCAGTCGCCCTCTCACCTGCATCGCTCGTCATTGTCATCTTCGTTGGTTCCACCGCTTCATGCGCCTCTTCAACGCTGTGAAACATGTGTGCACAGACACAAGAAGGGGGAGAATGGAGGGAGTGAGGTTGACAGCGAAGCATCATCAGCCACACGCCAGCCCCTTCGACCCACCCGCACTGATACACATCCACGCACACACACATGTTGTCTCCACTCATCCCACCACCATGCACGCATACGCACACACATTGCTCACCTCTTCATCAGAGCGAGTGACATGTGCAATGTCTGCCTCACGCCAGATTGGGGCTGGTGTCGGCCGGCGTGTGATGGCGGCTGTGCAGTCGATGGCGATGATGGTGGTGATGGTGACAGCGGAGCTGAGGTGGAAGAGAGAGAAAGAAGAGAGAAATGGGGAAGGTTGATGTCGATGTGTCGTTCATGGCGGCTGCTTCCCCCTCCTCTGATGTGGCCCTGGTGCCCGTACAACCAACACACAACGACAAGACACAACGACATCACACACAAGGCACGGGTATGGCATGTGAGCACAGCAAGCGTGTTCACCTTCCTGCTGCCCCCTCTCTTTTGCTTTCCTCCTGTTCGCCCCACCATCACCGCACACACACACACACACACACACACACACACACACACACACAAACACACACACAAACACACACACACACACACGCACGCACACACACACACACACACACACACACGCACGCACACACACACACACACCTGCGCATGACTGCGTCGCTGTGGTTGGATGTGGCCACCATGACCATGGACGTGTGTGTCCACAGCTGCTCCTCCCAACCCATCATCATGTGTGCACCGCCCATCATCCTCCGACGATCCTCACACAGTCGCCCCCCTGCAGCCACAAGCACACACACATGGCATGTGAGCGGCGCAGCTACGCTGATACACCAGGCACAGCAGCAGCAACAACAAGCACACCCAGAGCAACAACAACAACACACGCGCCATGTGCCAACCAAAGCATCCATAATGGACTCACCTTGCTCACGCATATGGGAACACTGCATGAACACAGCAGCAGCCGGCATGCGAGCCCGCTTCCATCAACATCCTGATGTGTGCTGGCACCTCACCACCTGTGCATGTGTACGTGTGTGTGTGGTTGCAGGGAACGTGGATGGGAACACAACACAACAGACACAGAGTAAGCCATCATGTCAGCACAGCAGAACGAGTGAGTGACATCACACGCAACACGGGCGTGCGTGTGTGTGCCAGTGTGTGTGATCATCATCCCCCATCAACCCCCTTCCCTCGTGTTCGCTTTACCGCACCCCAGCACCATCACCGCACCCTATCACACCACCAACCAAACACCGATCCCCACCCACATACCATGTGTGAGGCGAGTGCACCTGGCACGCGTGACAAGTAGCCTCGACATTTCCCTCATCCTGCTGCTTGCGAGTGTGCATCGCCTGTAAATGTATTTGTGTGCGAGCCCCAGCATGGTGAGTGAGTGGGAGGGAGAAGAGGGAGCATGGATATGTGCGCAGCCACACCGCTGCTGCCACTGCTGATGCTGTGCATGCATATGTGTGAAGAAGAAAGGGAAGAGGGAGACAACAGAAAACAGAAGGGAAGGAACAAGACATGCTGCACCCCATCCATCCATCCATTCATCTTCCC